GTCTAGTACTACTACTACTACTACTACTTGGCCGGCCGGCCGGCCGCTATGGCCAACCGGCTGGGTTGCCCGCGCTGTCAATGTTCAATAAGTATATCTGCACCATTTCCAAGTCAGTTTCTCCAACGTTGCCAACACCAGTGACCTTGCCTGCTTGGCACAGCGCTAGGATTGCAGCTCGACGAATGAGAGTGGGCTTTCCAGCTCTTGCTTGAGCCCTGTCAGACCCCACGCTTTCTTGTGATACCAAAGAGGGACCTTCTGAATTGGACCTCATGTCACTGAGCAGTTCTTCTGTCACGACGGAATGGGACCATATAATGGCTTTTGTGAGCATGTCTTGGGTTGATCGGTTCTCAGCCCAACATGCCCGCGGTCTCAAATCACTCCAACTTGCACCATCCAGCCAGAAGCGTTTCGATAGGTAGCAACCACAAAAAAAAAACAGAATTTGCACGACCAAACAAGAAGTTGTACTGTATTGTACGAAACCATATTACCAACGACCAAGCAGCGGCAGATGTGTGTTTCCAATACCCTTCATAGAGATTCATTCATCAAAGGCCAGGTTTGTTCCGGACTTTTTGGCCTTCCATGATCTCACCTGAGGCCTTCCGTGGCGTGCTCCTCGGCTGCAAGGTATCTTAAAGCATTGTAGAGACGGTCTGCCTGAATCACTTTGGAGATGATGGGATACTGAGTGGGCTATGCAGCTTCAACAAACAGGACAAAGCAGAGCAGGCTCTGACTGAAGTGTCCGGGTCGTCCTAGGTGGCATTTTGCTGCATTTGCCTGAGCTCAGGTGTCCGACCCACTCACATTGTTGGCAAGTGCACATCTCTTAGTCTAGGCTTGTTGGGTCTTGTCCAAAAGTGCAAGATGCCAAGGAACTCACTGACTCCTTGATCGACATCATTGGTTCTCAGCAGGCCAAATTCAGCTTGAGACTGACGTTCAAGACATGAGTGGCATTGGGTTCGAAGCAATTTCAGTTGAAACTTCCGTGCCAGTGTGCCATCCTGATATCCAGGTTGGAATGCAAGATCTTGTCAGCAGCACCTGCACAGAGGGCATGCTTCTTTGCTCAACTCAAAATTCGCAGCTCAAACATTTCGCAAGCCAAGTGTCAGGGAGACCCCCCAGCATGTGTGCTTTGTGTTCTCCATTTCAGCCTGCAGCCCCGCGCCAAGAATCAACGCACTTGCGGTCTTTGCTCGACCCTTCTTGCACACGGCACGTGGACAGTGGGCGGACGGAGGCTTAAATCTGATTTTGGTGATTTGTTGGGTTTGCAACTTGGTGCTGTTCTTGACAAGTATTTCCTCATATTTGTAGTATGGGACATAGATACTCTCCACAGTTTGATTGGTCAATATTGTGCCAGTTCAGCTCACTATCTATATTGGTAAGATTTAGTACGTACTTGCAAACTTGTTCAAACGGCGAAGAGGTTTTTGCATTGCAGCTTTTGTAAACGAGATCACGAGCATTTGGCAATCAGGCCAGAGTCTCCTTCGACCTGGCTTCATCTGGCTGCTGGCCTGTGTTGGGTTCCAGCCTTAGGTAGGTGTGACGACAGCCCTTTTTTGCAAGATTTTGCTGTCAGTCAGAATTGCAAGATTTGCCGTACCGACTCAACCTGTTCCGCAACTTGGGGTGACTTTAGAGTGCATCCGTTTTCAGTCAAGGTATCCCAAGGACACTAGGAGCAAGGGCGCTACTAGGGGCTCCTGGCATCGCTACTAGGAGCAAGGACGCTACTAGGGGCTCCTGGCATCGCTCCTAGGAGCAAGGACGCTACTACGGGCTCCTGGCATCGCTACTAGGAGCAAGGACACTAGCTTTTGATCCGGCACACATCCCCTCACACCTTTGCATGCTCAAGCTTTGGCAAAGATGCCCGGACGGTTTGAACCCCTTGCGGCAAGGCACATGGCTTCAAGCTTTGTGGCCCTAGATGTGCCGGTTGGGAATTACCAGAGCTGTGAGATGTTGAGCTCTGTGGTTGCCCCGACCATTTCCAAGGAAATAGGCCGTGGGAGGTGGAAGCTGCTGTTCCTCCAGGCATTCTTTGAGTTGTTTGAGGACTTGCAAACCTTGGTGAAGGATGCGATCCTACTACTGACAACACTCCTGGAGGGGATCTTTCAATGTATCTCCAGCAGCCTGCTGGTCAAGCGGTTCGAGGAGAGGCCGCTGAATGAGGCAATAGCCATAGTGGTGGTCTTCCTGATGATGGGCACCTTGTACTTTGCCATGTTCCTATACATGCGAAGCTTCAGCGCTTGGCATGCAAGGCGGTACACCTTGATCCTCTTCCACAAGTGTTTCCTGTTGGCTCTGATCTCCTACTATCAAGGCATTGTCACCGATCCCGGTGCTATTCCCAACTCTTGGCAGACAAGCTTGAGAACTGAAGAAGACATTCTGGTGATGGCCAAGGAGCGGAAGCGATCTGGAGAGCTCCGGCTTTGCAACAAAGAGATGAAGTACAAACCAGACCGTGCCCACTACTGCTCATGCTTGCAGCGCAATGTATTGCGCATGGACCACTACTGTCCGTGGATGAGCAATTGCATTGGACACTTCAACTACAAGTTCTTCTTGCAATTCCTGTTCTACACGGTTGTGTCTTCAAGCATTGCTTGCTTTGTCATGGTGAGTGCCTTGTACAACGAAGTGTTTGTACCTGGAACCACTGTGATGATGGTGGGAAGTGCTGGATTTGCAGGGTTGCTTGCTTCAGTTCTGACTCCTTTTTTCGCCTTCCACGCTTGGATGGTATCAAAGAACATGACCACCATTGAATTCTGTGAAAAGCTAGAGGGTGGAATCTACACCTCGCCATATGACCTGGGGCTCTGGGCAAACCTGCGAAGCGTGCTTGGAGGAAATGCTATCCTCTGGTTCTTGCCAATTCCCTCCACACCTGGGGACGGCATCACTTGGCAGCGTCGCTGAGGCTAGCCAAGGCTGGGAGATTGCACGTCTTGCTTCGAGTGGATGACACTGTCACTCGAGCACTCGAGGCTGAATCCGAATGCATCAAGTGTGTCAAAAACTCTTCTGTATTCTTGTGTTGAATGTTCATGAACTGCAAATGTTGAACTCACAAACTTGGAATATCCGGTACCGGTGCCGGCCGTTTGAGGCCAGAGCCTTGATGACCTGGCGTGGCCTGTGACATTTCAAGATGTCCTTGCTGGTGCCTCAAACAACAACAGTTTGTTCATCAAGCAGTAGTTTCAAGATATTTGTCGACCATAACAGAGCTGACTAAGATGAGATACGATTGTGCTGGCGCAATCCAGCTTGGGCATTTTGGGTAGTTTGGAAACAACATGAATTCATCAACCGCAGATGTTCCGGAAAGCTTCAAGTAGGTAACGAGAATAGCAGATGGCTCGTGCTGAGAATCTGGCTCTTGCTGGAGAAGCCTGGCGAGACAATGGAGATGAGGCTCGGTTGCCGGGTCGCGACAACATGCAGGCACTTAATTTCCACACGGGCACTTATTGATGCAGGCTGAGTTGCTGTTGCCAGCTCGGAAGCCAATGCCCCTGGCGCAGCTCAACAGGACCCAACACCAGTAGTTGTGTGCAGGATCCGCCACACCAAATGCTGACTCATTTTTGATAATTACTCATTTGTGCACAATGAATGCACTATCAGGTGCACATTTGACTCACAAAACCTGCTACATTCATAGCGGCTCTGGAGGGAGCAGAAAGAACATCTCCACTTGCATACTGCAGGTCATTCACGACATGCTGCAACTGACAGAGGGATCTTTTATCTGAGTTGAGTCTAGAGAGTCTATAATATAGAGGCTCAAATCGTTGAAGCGCAGCTTGGCATCCTGCATGCCAAGCCAAATAGATCGATATACTGTAATGGCGTTACCATATTCATTGTTCAAAGCCCCGACTAGGATCATGCCGGACACGCAGGGCCGCAGCCTCAAGTTGTACTCTGCGGTCTTTCAGGTTTTCGCATTATGGCACAATCTGGAGCAGGGTAGCCTCGAGTACCGCAGCTCAATCGAGGCTTCGCTGGCACGATGCGCAAAAGCGTGACAGTGTTGAGCACTGGGTGAACTCCTCAACCTGTGACCAGCTCGTTCAATCCAACCCGGGCTTTAAGCTATTTGCAGCTAAAATGGAAGCAGGCCCCACGAAACCTTGAGACACTTTGTCAGTGTCACGTGGGTTCTATATGACGCTTGATTTGATATTTTTCGGGCCGAGGCATCATGCGTCGTATCCCATAGCTATTGCTGCAATGTGGCGCGCTTTGTTGCCAGACTACACCATCCAACTTGAGGACCCGTAGCGAACGCGTAGCGAACTCAAGGGTTCTTCAAGGAAGCTCCATTCGCCAGGAAGCTTCCTTTTTTCTTCTAGCTTGAGTTGTTTTTTAAAATTATTACTACTTTCTGTACTGTAGGGCCTACCCTGAAAAGAAACTTTTGGAACCCCAAATAACAGGCGCCGTGTAATTCTCTCAGGATCATTCTTTCGACAATCGCTACTGCAGCCTCCATGGAACTTGCTCCACCGATGAACGCTTTGCCTGGCCAGAGGCCCAGAGCTGAGAGAGACTGGAAGAGTAGTGGCCAAGGGTTGTAAAAGCCATGAAAGCTTTTGAACGAGCCTTCGAAGGAAGGCTTTTGACATGGACTTCATGATTCCTTTGACACCTTCGTTGCCTGAAAACAATTGATCCTGGAAATGGACAGCCAGGAATCTTTTCATGCACTCATGTCTCACTTCCCTTAGAATGCACCCTGGTCCTTCTTCTAACCGTTCTAACCCTCCCTTCCTCTTCCTCTTCCTCTCCCTCTCCCGCCCCCTCTCTCTCGCTCTCTCTCTCTCTCTCTTGTGGGAGGTTTGGTTTACATTTCAGGCTGATCACGGGGGTGTGATCTGAGGCTCGGAGAGCATTTGAGAGGCACGTTGGTGCGTACATGTGGTGGTCATTACCTCAAGGGCTTCAAGGACAGCAATTCTTGATCTGTTTTTGCAAGAGACAGTGATATTCCTTACAACGTGTAACTGTCAAACCATGTCAAACGCATCTACTGTAATACAGTAATACATTTGGATCTAATCAGAGCACAAGTCAATTCTGCTCAGACATTTTCCGGTTGCACAAGCAGTTTGAAACAACAGTCCTCGGTCAGAAAGGCTTCACATAATTTAGAGCATGTTGCTACATCAGTCTTGTCAGATGAGAGCTATTATTTACTGTTTTTAAATGTATCATCAATTCATGAGCTCACCAACAAAGAGTATGCTTGTCTTGCATGACGACTGTCGTCCCGACCCAGCAGTTTTCGCATCCTTGCACCAGGTCGTACTGAAGAGCGTTTGGTGCAACTCAATTTCCTAAGCTCACCAAAGAGCCAAATCATCCCTCCAGACAAACAATCATGTTACTCATCAATAATTACTCAAGTTGAGTGTTGCAGGATATTGGGCAATTGGCAGAGCAACTCTTTGACCTTCTGATGGAAGGCAGGTAATTACGTAGTACAGATCACTTGTTTAGGCTTGTTCTGGGATTTCTTCACAGTATATAATCAGCTTTTGTCACAGTACATGCGAAATCGAGTACCAGCTGCGTGTGTACCTCAAGCGAGCAGCCCGCTCCATTCCGTGTGTATTATGCACAGGGGCACTTTCTTTTGTCTTTTTCCCCACCTGCCAGGTAATGGTTGTTAGATTTTATCAGAGCCGTCCTCTCCTCCTCCTCCTCCCCCCCTCCTCCTCCCCCTCCACAAGTACCAGATCGCGGTGGGCACCACCGGGCCTGAACCACGAGCGCCAGATCGCAGTAGACACCACCAGGCCTGAACCAGATAGAAAGAATGCCAAACAGAATGTCAGCAACTATGCTAGATAGAATGCCAGAACTAGGCACTGTTAGAACGACACAAAAAGCCAGAAAGAATGATAGAATATCCTAGATAGAATGCCGGAATATATGCCAGATAGAATGTTCGAAAATATGCCAAATAGAATGCCATAATATACGGCAGATAGAATGCCAGAATATGCTGGACAGAATGCTAACATATATGCCAAATAGAATGCCATAAAATGCCGCAAATGTACCACTTGGAAAACCAGAATATACCCCGGTGTGCCAGATAGAATGCCTGAATATAGTTGTGCATCAGGATAGGAAGGTTTGGGCTTGCATGTTTCGTCTCACTGATTGTAATGATGATGTGTGTTGCCCATATTGGCACAAGGAGAACCATTGAGCCAAGCTGGCTTCAAGGTGTGACTGTGCGACACTCAAGTTTTTTTGGGAAGACTGACTAGCGCATGCCATTGCTCCCACGTCCTGGCGGTGCATGCCCATGCGCCGTTGCTTGCCACAGCGGCCTTGTTGGAGATGACCAACCATCTTCGATCTCTCATGGCGGACGGCCGCGTGGTGGAAACTTGGCGGATCTTAGCTAAAATGCTATAATATTTATTATATGTGTCTCATGACCACCCTTCCGGCCGCAGCTTTCAGGGATCAATCCGCATGCCAGGCGGTGGGCTCACGGTAGGAGCAGCTGGAGGGCCGGCAAATACATAGCTTCTCAGCTTGATGCGCGACCTGGTTTCCCCCTCATCTCAATACCCAGCACCCCTTCCGGAGGATCATTTTGATTGCATTTGCCCATCACTGAAACTCCAGTTCCTAGAGCAACCAGGATTTGAGTTGTTTGCTGCCGGGCTGATCGTAGGGTTGTGCCTTGGCCCTTTCCTTGACATCTGCTGGCTGATCCGTGACCATTGGCGCCGCTTCGTGGTGCGCTCTTGGCACAGCAGCCGCTCGGTCCGGTCTTCTTTCCGGGCCCTTCATGAGTGAGCCCCTTCCTGTTGTTCTTAGGTCCGTGTGGTCTGAGCCGCAGCTCTTGACAGGTTGCAGTCCTTGCTGACCGGCTGGGAGCCTTAGAGCTTGGAACGGATCGATCATCGTCCGTGGGCAGCTTTGAATTCGTGGCTGGTGAGCGAGAGAACTTTGAATTCTCTTCTCCCTCGAGGGTGGCCTTGGTTTCTTCTCATCAGGTCACGGGACCTGTGCAAGCTCCTTTTGCTTTTCCCTTCTCGCCTCATTCAACCCACAATGACTTCGACCCATCCTGAGGCGGATTTTTCTTCAGCTCGGCAAAAGACGCCTTTCCAGACGTCTTCTCGCTCTTTTTCGTTCCTCCCCAGTCTTGGGAAGAGTGTGAAGAGATCGTTCGTGAGGTTGCAGCGGGGAGTGCCTGGAGAACCAGTGGCCGTGATCGCGTTCGCTTGCCGAGTCGGGTCTACATTGTGCGCAATGACTACGAGGGGAACATCACTATATACCCATCCATGCAGTGTTTTTCATCGCTTTGCTGAGGTGAAATCGCTGTGTGGATGCGGTTCAGATCTAGGAGACTCAGTCTTTGTGGGGCTCCCTTCATTATTGCGTGAAGTGCGAGTTGCCGTGAGCGCGGCGGGCTACACGATTGCTGAGAACGGCCACGGTGGCCAGTGAGGAGGTGGATATGCCAAGACCCGCTCATCTCCCAGAAGAGGGTGGGGAAGTTTTGTTTTGGCGAGGACATTGCGCCCCTGTCCACCAAGGTGGGCGCGCGCTCTTTGGCTACGAAGATGGACGGATTTCTTTGGCCGACTCTTTTTCCTCCTCCGAAGTATCATCGCGGAGTTGGAGAATAGATTCATTTGCGCAGTCCCCTTTGAAGTTTGGAACAGACGTGTTTCCTCAAGGATTTTGCAGCAGTGATGTCTCAGCAAACCTATCCTTTAAATTTGCACTAACTCTTGCATGTCTTCCGGATGCTCGTGCAGAACCGCTGGAAGAAGAGCCCATGAAAGTTTGGTTCCCTCAGACATGGAGGACTATGTTTCTTTCGGCTCAACAGAGGAAGCGAACTACGAGAAATGGTCGCAGGGGCCGCGCAACTTCTTCACCTCTGAACAAGTGAATTAAGGGGGTGTGGGGGTGGGGTGGTCGGTGAGCAGGACCCTTCGATAGGGTGGACGCAGAGCTTGGCGGGGGAGGGCGCTCCAAAGCGAGGGTCCGAAAAGCAGTGAAGATGGGGTCTGGTGATGCGAGTGATGTAATGGATGCCGAGTAGTGCATCATTGGCATCATGAAGGGCTTTGGAGACTATTTGGACAATGGGCCAATGGGCATAGAGGACTCGAGTGGAAACAGGGACCCACGTACAGGGACCCACGTAATGAAGCGGCAGCTGGCTTTTGTCCCCCCTTCTCAGGTATAAATATAACATTATATATATATATATATCTGTATTATATTCAAATAGGCGCTCACACCATAAACCTGTATTAACATTATTAACGAAGCTGCACTTTTCCAGCAACGGCAGACTTTGAGGTCTGTACGCAACCCACTAGGCGGTTGCGTCGTGTATCGTGAGGAGCCCCCAAGCAGGAAAGTGAATTAAACAATTCGAGATACCGACCTATGACCTGCCTATTTTGTAGGGCCGATGTGCTGGATATCAAAATTACGGCTGTAACACGTGACTTTTGTTTTGTCTATGGGAGAGCGTGACCAGATCACGACTCATCACGAAAGCTAGCCTTAGCTAGCTGGAGTTGCTCTTGCTTTAGCAAGTTAAGTGACGGGGTGGACGCACCTCAGAAACCTCAAATAATTGATTAAATCAATCTTATGGACCCCCCCCCCGCGGGTTCGACTCCCCCCTGCGCGCGGTGAGCGGGACCACCAAGCAGCTGCAGCAAACCACAAAGGAGCAGCAGCAGCAGCAGAAGCAGCAGACCCAGAGCAGCAGCAGCAGCAGCAGCAGCAGCAGCAGCAGACGACCCGGCGCCAGCAGAGCACCCAGCGCAGCAGCGCCCAGCGCAGCAGCGGCAGCAGCAGCAGCAGCAGCAGCAGCAGAGCACCCACCGCCGCAGCAGCAGCAGCAGCAGACCACCCAGCGCCAGCAGCAGCAGCAGCAGCAGCCGACCCGGCGCCAGCAGAGCACCCAGCGCAGCAGCGCCCATCCCTGACGACCAGACTCTCGTTCACCCCCTAGCTAGCTTTCGTTCACCCCCTCTGGCCTCAAGTAATGACTGCAAAGCCCGTATTTGATCGTACTTGCACTTCTTGCCCATGACCCACCCATGACCCACCCGTGACCCCCCAAATATGTTCCTTTACGAGAATCAACTTCTCGACCCCACCGTGACCAACCGTTTTGTTTGGGTCACACTCAGGGAGAGGTCTTGGCGAAATCCCACCCAAGGAACACTGATTCCTCAGCTCCACTTCTGAGTCAAATGCTGTTCAACTTGCAGAATATTGAACCTCGAAACCTCAGAAAATAAACTTGAGATGCATGGGTTTCGGGGGTTGAAGATGTTTGAAGGCAGAGGTTTATGGCAACAAACCTGGCAAGGTGGAACCGTGGTAAACAGCGTATTACTGACGAGCTGATTCTTTGTTTTGGGAACTTGAGTAGGAACTGTGTGCTGGTTTTCTGGTTCTAGGTTGAGTCAAGGTCTCTGTGCTTATTTTGTATACAGCCACACTTTTACACAGTTGCCTTAGCTGCTGTTTTCTTGCATGTTTGCCTGCCAGGTCCAGACTCTCCAGCACTTCGAGCAGATTTACTGCTGTGTGACCTGCTTTCAAAAGCTGTTTGGTCTTTCGTTAATGCTGGCAACGGGGGCGATGCAAGCAAGGCACACACCCACCGTATTCGTGCCGACTCTTCTTGCCATTTGTCAATCGCCTTGGCCTGTGTGACACCGAGCTGCAACAGCGAGCTGACCGGGGAGAGAGAGAGAGAGAGACCTCAAACAAAGGCATCTAAGATATAGACATATTTTTCTCAACGATGGTAGCGAGAAGTAGTTTCACATAAAAAGCACATAATGTACCATATTAATATGTATAATATATATATATATTATATATATACACACTGTACACACACACACACACTAGGAGTGGTGTATGGTCAAAGGAGAAAGGGGACACGTGCGACACGTGTAAGACAACATGTTGTGAATGAGGCCGCTTCTGGGCTTCTTTGGCGGCACCTTGGAGGTTGCTATGGACATCAGCCCGAGTTTGGAGCTTTGTCTTCTCGAGTCAGGCGCATGTTCCAGAAGAGGGAATAGAGGCTTGGCTCAAAGACTTTAGCGACATGGTTCGGGACTTAGACTGCAACCGTTGAGGAAAGAATGAGACAGAAGTCAGAGACAAACAAGTTTTGTTTCGACAAATTTCATGCGCAGAAATACTTATATATATAAATGCCATGGATGAACAGGTACAACCATATACACATTCGAGCATCTACTGTATATACTATTTCAATTTTCTCAGCTTCATGCCACTGACAACTACAGGGTCTACGGAAACCCTTGCCGGAGGCTTTAGAGCTCTCAAGTACAGCGACATAAACGTTGCCAGGCACACAACCCCTTGGTGCAATTTGCTGCCATATCTCCGTTTTTGGCAGTAGCTTGACTGTAATCATTGCTTGTGTTGATCAGTGTCGATCAGCAGTATGGTCCTCGATGTGAATGTGTGTAAGTGCTCCTGAAACACACACAACCCTGGTGCCCAATTTAAAGGCTGTCCACCATCATGCCCTTTCTTGAGGGTCAATAAAACAATGTTGGGAGATCATTGCTGTATTTTCATTAAACACAGGGGTTTGTTTCAAAACCGTTGTTTCCCTAACTCCTATTGGTACTGTCTTTGGAAGCAAGCTGTGATCCAGATTTTGACATGCAATGTTGCATGTTCATGGGACTATTTGCCTTAAGTGTAAGGGACAGCATTTGTTTACATTTATCGATGCGTTTTAACTACAAGGCACTCAAGCCACACAACACTTGGCTGCACGGAAATAGACAGCCGTCAAAACAAGGCCCAAGGCCCTTGTGACAAGGCCCATTCTGACAAGCTTTTTGTGGGTCTTGTGGCCACAAAGGGGATTGGAGACCACTCGTCCCTGAATGGTCCCAAGTCAGCAGAGTTCCAAAGTGGGTGGAATCAATAGTAGCCACTTGTGGACTTAGATGTTGCAGCTGAATCAGAAAGGTCAAACATTGCGATCCCACAATTTTTCTTTGTTGTACCAGATGAATCCTTGATACCTTGAAATCATTGAGGAGAAAATGCGATACCAATCAGGCGGCGACCTCGGAAATTGAAGCAACTGTGATTTCATGAGGCGAGATAATTGCCTTCAAAGTCCAATTGTTTCTTACAGCGAAGGGTCTTCAAGGAATCTTCTCATGCCTTCAGGCCCCAGGCCAAGAAGTTTTTTTGAAGAACCAAGCCAAGCTCCTTCAGTGTCCTTTTCAACTTGTTTTCTTTTTCTGCTTTTCTTGGAACTGATAGCTCCTACAGGCCGGCCTACCCCGGGCCTACCCCCTCCAAAAAGGAAGAAAGGCACATCAAGAAGCAAGAAAAGAGAAGACAAGGACAGCATCACAAGCAAATAACACGCAGGCGGCCATAGCTCTAGAGCTTTGAAAGGTCTCTCAATCATGGTGCAAGCTCACTGGAGGTGCGCCAATCCCTGCCGTGCGAGGATTTGGGTTTCATGTCATTCAGCCACAACCTCAAACAAGTTACCAGAGGACATATCGCTCAAATGTTTTGGGTGCCTTGAGATACTCGTAGCTCAGTGATCATTTTTCTCATTCACATGTCGAGGCAGGGGGGAACATACCTACCCAGGTGCCGCCGGTGCCGCTGCTTGCATTTGACTTGCTCCCATCAAGGAGGGATTGTTTTTTTTCTTTGAGAGGCGATGGTCAGAAGTCCTGCTTTGGAAAGGTAGCAGCAACTTGGCTGGCTCCAGGAAGACATAGAAGGATAGCCAGTTCTGTAATCTCAGGGCCACTGCAAGTGTTCCAAGGACTTTCTTGAGTTGAAGACATGTTTTCATGAACTTGGCTTCAAAGCATTGAAACTTGACGTGCCAAGAATAGCTTTTAGACAAATGGCCCAGGTGACATGTCGGATTATTAGAGACGTTTGAGCCGGACACCACACTAGTTTGTACCCAGGTGAGTGTGAAGACAACAAGGATGCTGAGAAAGCAGTCAGAAGCTGCCACAAATTTGCAGTTCTGAACGTGGCATTTTGCTTGGCTTGACGTCAGGAGGCTTTCAGCAAACTGATTGCCACCATTTCGGAGACCACTGAAGGTGCTGGTCAGCGTTTGTTTGCAGACTGTGGCCGCACTATGTTGCCGGGTCACCCAGGGCCTGAGACTCTCCGATTTCTACACCTTCACGCGCTGCGAAAGGCTGTCTGAGATACTGTAAAAGAAAATGCATGTGAACGGAGCATAGCACAAGAAATTGCGTCGCAATACCCTACAGAAGATGGGAGCTGGAGAGGCTGATGGGGCACCCTACTCGAGCATCGCTTCCTTCAGAGCTGTGGTCTTTGTTCCTTATGAGGCGGTTTCGCTGTTTTTTTTTCCAGATAGCGATAGCCTGTATTCTGTTTTGGATTGCCGCTGCTGTGCGGCTGCTGTGCCGCTGCTGCCTTGTCTCCCAACATGTCTGCTTGTCTCCCCACTTGTCTCACGGGCTCGCTGGATTTGAATTAGTTGCTATTTGGGGTTTATGCCGGTGTAATTAATTCTTTGATGCACTTTGCATCAAAGGAACATGTGATTTCATCAGATGTTGGGTTCTCGATCCAGCACTGCGACTTGAAGGCCAGACCAAACCAAGTGAAACGATCAATGGACATTTGCAGGTACTGCTGATGACGTTTTACGAGCTTTATCATGTTGCCGCTTGCCTAGCCACTCTTGTGGAGATTTCACCACCGTGGAGTGGAATAAGCTCTCAGGCGATACCTCTGTTCATTCCAGTCAAGGACCTGCCATCAGCTGAAGCACATACACAGAAAACTTTTTGTGGCATGAACGGGATAAGGAATCCGATCAGAGTTTAGGATGCACATGTTTGCTTTGTGTGTTCTGTGAAAGGAGCTCGGAGCATTTTACATGTACCGTGGTCCAGTGTTGCTACCTCAGAAGAACACATGTACAGGGCTTCTTCAAGGAAGTTTCCCCTCAGGCGGAGGGCAGCTTCCTTGAAGCCTGAACTCTTTTTTGTCCCAACTCGTAGCTGCAAGCTAATGCTTACCCCTTTCTACGTTTGCTACTTGTTAGCTCTCTTTGTACCGGCCCACCCCCCAAAAGAGACTTTCTGTATTTTTCTGTTCTTTCACATCTTGGCCCAGTTTTCTAGGACTTACCCTCATTGTGGAATGGTGCGGCGCTCACGACATATTGACCAGACCAGTGCCTCAGGCCTCTGCGTTGCGGATTTGATTCTGTGCGTTGTTGACATGCAACTCTTTTAATGAGAGATAGCTTTGACGGGTGTTTCTTGCAGGAGAGAATGCCATGCTATCATTGCAGGTGAGTGGCCTCAGTTGGTACCTTGATCCAGTTCTTTGCACTGATCCTGTTGCTTTGGTGCCTTCAGGAGAACCCAGAGCATCCATACTCACCCTTTGACAGAGCGAACGTCATCCCCTTAACAACTGGCCTCTAATCGCACGTGATTGGACAATGTACTTCCCCGCATGAGGTGACTTCAAGACTGGCATGGATTGAGGCAAGGATCAGCAAGGGAATGAAATATGCTTGTGGTCTGAAAGGCATGCCATGTGTGCTTGCGGTTTTTAAAACACACTTAGTTTATATGTCCAGGCGTACACGGATTGGTATCTCTGGCCACACATCCAGTTGAGATCTCAGCTTCTCCTTGCAGTCAGTCACGCTTGTCATCACTGTCATTTGTAAATCTGTGTTCAAGACTATATATTTTCTTTGCGTGCCTGCTTGCAGCTCAGAACTATTGTCAAGTCTCTAGTGAATGACACACATGGGTCGGACTCTGCATTGCCCAGCAGCTTTTATTGGCTCAAGATGATCAGCATGAACAATTTATCGAACATTTCGCGCTGGTGGTTCATGCTGCTGATTGGCTCCCAACTTGCGCTTGTACAAAACCAGCACACGGCCCATAGCACCAGAGCAGCAACATGCAAGTCGCTGAGTTGCCAGGTCCATACAAGCATCATTTCCTTTCAAGCGGGGCATCACTGAAGATTGCATAGAGTGCTTCTTGCCCTGTGCCCATTTATTCTACATGGACTTTTGACCAAGGTGGGTGAATCAAATTTCATCCAACCAATCCTGGTGCACAATTGAGCTGACTCACTGACAGTTTGTAGCTTATAGTGATCATAGTGCTGGCAAGGGCAGTTGAGCTGATGAAGATGCTCGATTTCCCAGAGGCTTGAGTGTGAAAGCTATGCCTCAATCCCGAAGGCCAAGTAAGCATTTGGAGTGACCTGCCAGGATGACGTAGCAACAGCTGCTTTGCTGTTGAACAGTGCGGGCATCCAGAGGCATATATTTCCGCCTCTTGGCATGTTCAGACAACCTGGATATACATATTTATGGGCTTACGCCCGACAGCCGGCCAGGGGCCCAACCCAAACGGAGGGGCAAAGGTGGTAGTAGTTGTGGTGGTTGCGGTTGTGGTTGTGGTTGTGGTTGTGGTCGTGGTAGTGGTTGTGGTTATGGTTGTGGTTGTGGTAGTGGTTGTTGTGGTTGTTGTGGTGGGTGTGGTTGTTGTGGTTGTGGTTGTGGTTGTGGTTGTTGTTGCTGTTGCTGTTGTCGTTGTGGTTGTGGTTGTGGTTGTGGTTGTGGTTGTTGTTGTTGTTGTTGTTGGTTGTTGTTGTTGTTGTTGTTGTTGTTGTTGTTGTTGTTGTTAAGCTTCTATCACTCAAGGGCACCTTGGATTGCCCTCTCGTGGGCGGTGTTCCCCGCTCGTCATGGGCGGCTCCGCTGCCGCGTGGTGATCCACTCGAACCTGCTGATTTGCCTGCGGCTGATGCCGCGCTCGCTCATCGGCTTCTGGTACCTAATTGTGCTTCTTGGTGGTCGGTGGTCCCAAGTCCACCGGTTGGACATGATTCGAACCACTTCGTTTTCCACCCCTGTGTCCAACAGAAGCGAGGGTTGCGGCATATCCATGGATGCCGCGGGAGTGGCTAGGAATGGTGAGTTTCTGCGAACCCCACCCGTTGCCACGAAACAACATGGAAACACGCCCAATAGTAGCTTTCCTAATTGCAACAGAGATCATCACTTGATCTCCAACCACAAACGAAGCTTTCGTCGGGCCGTGAAGCGCGCACAAAGAGACGGACTCGCATGGTATAGAGGTAAACTCTATGATGCCTGTGCCCTTGGCACCACCGTTCGTACCATGCCAACGGCCAGCTCGGCCCCCATGCCATATTCCACGGCTCCATCAAGCACCTTTTTACTTGGAACTGTGGTGGATTGGGCCGATCCAAGCTGGAAGAGATCTTGGGGGGTGTCCGGCGTGGCGCGTCGAGTCCAGGTCGCGCGGTCCGGTTGGAGGTGGGGAAAGTGTGAATTGGCGCGTGCTGCTGGACACGTACTGCGAAGAGCGCGGATGCTGCATCTGCCGAGAACGCAAACAACTAGACGACGAGTGGCCCGAAAGCATTTTCATCACGTAGGAAGTCAGAGTGCGAGTTATCTGTTAAGTGTGTTATAAGTGTTCAGTGTGAAGTGTTAAGTCGAGTGTGTTGAGGCAGTGTGTGGGTCTCTGTGTGTGTGTGTGTATCTATGTCTGTGTGTGTATGTGTCTCTCTCTGTATGTCTTTCTGAAGCGCAGGAACACCTGTTTTCTGCAAGTTCTTCACCTCTCGAAAGTCACCTCCGCGTACTAAAGTTGTACTACAAAGTCGCCAGTTCTCATCTTCCAGCTCCACAGATTGCTCCGTGTACTAAAGTTCTACTACCAAGTCGCCAGTTCTCATCTTCCAGCTCCCCAGATACTCCGCGTACTCAAGTTGTACTACCAAGTCGCCAGTTCTCATCTTCCAGCTCCCGGATACTCCGCGTACTAAAGTTGTACTACCAAGTCATTGTACTACCAAGTCACCAGTTCTCATCTTCCCACTCCCCAGATACTCCGCGTACTAAAGGTGTACTACCAAGTCGCCAGTTCTCATCTTCCAGCTCCCCAGCTACTC